ACAAAACACGTGAATGACCTCTACAAGGAAAACTATAAACTCCTGAAGAAAGAGATTGAGGAAGACTATAGAAAGTGGAGAGATCTCCCATGTTCATGGACAGGCAGAATCAACATAGTACAAATGTCTATACTCCCAAAAGTAATCTACATGTTTAATGCAATTCCCATCAAAATCCCAATGACATTCATCAAAGAGATTGAAAAATCTACCCTAAAATTCATTTGGAAACACAAGAGACCACGAATAACCAAGGCAATACTCAGCAAAAAGAGCAATGCTGGAGGTATCATGATACCCGACTTCAAACTATATTACAAAGCAATAGCAATAAAAACAGCATGGTACTGGCACAAAAACAGACATGAAAACCAGTGGAACAGAATAGAAGACCTGGATATGAATCCACACAACTTTACCCAACTTATTTTTGACAAAGGCGCTGAAAACATATGATGGAGAAAAGGCAGTCTTTTCAACAAAAACTGTTGGGAAAACTGGTTAACAGTCTGCAAAAAAACTGACATTAGATCCATGTTTTTCACCCTGTACTAGTATTAACTCAAAATGGATCAAGGACCTTAATATCAGACCCTAAAGTCTAAAGTTGATAGAGGAAGAGTAGGAAATACATTGGAAGTAACAGGTATAGGCAAGGACTTCCTCAGTGGAACCCCATCAGCTCAGCAACTAAGAGAAAGCATAGACAAATGGGACCTTATAAAACTAAAAATCTTCTGCTCAACAAAAGAAATGGTCTCTAAACTGAAGAGAACACCAACTGAGTGAGAAAATATTTGCCAGCTACACATCAGACAAGGGACTGATAACCAGAATATACAGGGAACTTAAAAAACTAAACTCTCCCAAAATTAATGAACCAATAAAGAAATGGACAGCTGAACTAAACCAAACTTTCTCAAAAGAAGAAATTCAAATAAATGGCCAAAAAACACATGAAAAATGCTCACCATCTCTAGCCATAAAGGAAATGCAAATTAAAACTACACTAAGATTCCACCTCATCCCTGTTAGAATAGCCATCATTAGAAACACCACCAGGTGTTGGCATGGATGTGGAGAAAAAGGAACCCTTATACACTGCTGGTGGAAATGCAAACTAGTACAACCACTCTGGAAAAAAAATTGGAGGCTTCTTAAAAATCTAAACATAGATCTGCCATATGATCCAGAAATACCACTCTTGGGAATATACCCAAAGGAATGCAACACAGGTTACTCCAGAGGTACTTGTACACCCATGTTTATTGCAGCACTACTCACAATAGCCAAGTTTTGGAAACAACCAAGATGCCCCACTACTGACGAATGGATCAAGAAAATGTGGTATTTATACACAATGGAATTTTACTCAGTCATGAAGAAGAATGAAATCTTATCATTCGCAAGTAAATGGATGGAACTGGAGAACATCATCCTGAGTGAGGTTAGCCAGGTCCAGAAGACCAAAAATCATATGTTCTCCCTCATATGTGGACTTCAGATCAAGGGCAAACACAACAAGGGGATTGGACTTTGATCACATGATAAGGCAAGTGCACACAAGGGAGGTATGAGGATAGGTAGGTAACCCCCTCCAAAAAAGATAGCATTTGATATCTTCAATGCAAAGGAACTAATGCAGAAACTTTAAAGCAACAGAAGCCAATAGGTGAAGGGGACCAGGAATTAGAGCAAAGGTTAATTTGAGCAGAATCAATTTAGAAAGTAACACATATGTACATGGAAGCAAAACTAGGAATCTCCCTATATAGCTATCCTCACCTCAACTAGCAAAAACCCCTGGTCCTCCTTATTAATGTTTATACTCTCTCTTCAACAAAATTAGAGATAAGGGCAAAACAGTTTCTGCTTGGAAGCGAGGGGGTGGGGGGAGAGGGAGGAAGTGGGGGGGAAGGGGGCAGTAATGACCCAATCATTGTATGCACATATGAATAAACGAAAAAAAAATGAGGTCAATTCTGAGATGCATAGTTTTTTTGTTTGTTTACTTTTTTGTTCATTTATTCACATGTGCATACATTGTTTGGGTCATTTCTCCACCCTGCCCCCCTACCCCACTCTTCCCCCCCTCCCCCCCTCAGTTTCAAGTAGGTCCCGTTCTGTGCTTATCACTGATTTTGTTGAGGAAAAGACATAAGCATAATAAGAAAGACAAAGCATTTTTGCTAGTTGAGTTAAGGATAGCTATACAGAAAGATTCCTACTATTGCTTTCATGTACCCATGTGTTACGACCCATGTTGATTCAACTCTAACTGATCTTTACATTGGTTCCTGATCCCCTGCTCATGATAACCTTTCATTTTAAGGTTTCTGTATTAGTTCCTCTGGAGTGGGGATATCAAACGCTTTCATGTTTTGGGTTTTCTGCCTATTCCTATATCTCCCGTATGTGCTCTCCCCTTTTCTTATGATCCAAGTCCAACCACAATATACAATATACAATATTTGGTCTTCTGAGCTTCGCTGACCTCACTCAGAATGATGTTCTCCAGTTCCATCCATTTACCTGCAAATGATAAGATTTCATTCTTCTTCATGGCTGAGTAAAGTTCCATTGTGTACAAGTACCACATTTTCTTGATCCATTCATCAGTAGTGGCATCTTGCTTGTTTCCATAACTTGCCTATTGTGAATAGTGCTGCAATAAACATGGGTGTGCAGGTGCCTCTGGAATAACCTGTGTCATATTCCTTTGGGTATATCCCCAGGAGTGGGATTGCTGGATCATATGGCAGGTCTATGTTTAGATTTTAAGAAGTCTCCAATTTTTTTCCAGAGTGGTTGCACCAGCTTGCATTTGCACCAGCAGTGGATAAGGTTTCCTTTTTTCCCACATCCTCGCCAATACCTGTTGGTGGTGGTGTTTTTGATGATGGCTATTCTAACAGGGGTGAGGTGGAATCTTAGTGTGGTTTTGATTTGCATTTCCTTTATGGCCAGAGATGGTGAGCATTTTTTTCATGTGTATTTTGGTTATTTGAATTTCTTCTTTTGAAAAAGTTCTGTTTAGTTCAGTTGCCCATTTCTTAATTGGTTCATTGATTTTAGGAGAGTTTAGTTTTTTAAGTTCCCTGTATATTCTGGTTATCAGTCCCTTGTCTGATATATAGCTGTTCATATTTGAGGGCATCTTGGAATGTATTTAGTTATCTAAGAGTATGAAATTTTTCTGGTAGGCTGAAAAATACAGTTTGGGATGCTATCATTTAAAAAAATTATAGTTAAAGATCCAAAACTAGGTGAATTAGGGGTTCTCACTCATTATTTTGCATCTATTCCTTTGCTATTAGGTGTTTAAGGAGAGCTGCATTTAGTACCAGCCACAGTCCGAAGAAGCTTGTCAGGGAAAACCTGAATTTACATTACTTGATATAAGGAAACTGAAAGAGTGGAAGACAAATTAAGAGAACAACAGTCCCTTAGTTTTAATGAATTCATGAACAGCCTGCTATTCTTAGAACCTTTCCAAATAACTTCTGGCTCCAATCAGCAAGGATTCTTCACACAGTAATAGCAGGTTAATTTTAAGCCATTTTGTGTTTCTCTGGCCCTAAAATGAAAGAGGCAAGTTGATATAATGGGCCCACCCACCAGAAAGTGGTGTTTCAAAAGTCTCCATTTGGGCCCTGCCTGGTGGTTGACTAGGGACAGTCCTGTCTTTGTGTCTAAGCACTGTCCATCACCTGCAGTGGTAAAGTAACCACCTCTAGGAGTCAGCATCAGGGTGCAAAGTCATTTGCATCACTAACCTAATGGTTGGTTGGTTGGTTTACTTTAGATATTTTTGTGATCATGGTTTTCCCCACCATCTGAGAAACCACTGTCCTGTGTGTCATTCTGTCCTAAAGCACCTCCCATATGTAGGTTAACTTAAACAGAAACCAATCTCCTGAATGTCTGAGGCCTCTCACCACCTAGTTCCTGACTGGGCACCCAGAACTCATTCACTTCCTTGCTCTGGAAACTCCAACAACAGCCACCCACTTGGAATTTCATGCCATTGTATCACTTTGGCAGAAGTTCTTTTGCTTTCTTCTTTCCCTTCAGCTAACTCCTATTGAATATCCTAGACTCAGCCTAGCACTTCTACCAAGAAATTTTCTCAGAGATTTTTGTCATTGTCTGTGTCTGTTTTCCTTTTACATTAAAAAATAGCTTTATAGAGATATTATTCATATACCATACAGTTTACCCACTTAAAACATATAATTTAGCAGTTTTTATGTTATACACAAATATATACAGCTATCACCATGGTCAATTTTAGAACACTTTCACCACCTCAAAAACTCCATTTATGTCTCACTCTCCTGTATTTTTAGCCCTAAGTTATCACTAGCCTACTTTATGTCTATATATTTTCCTGTTTTAGACATATATGGATAGCATCATGTAATATGTGGGATTTTGTGAATTTTTTTCACTTAGTACTATATAGGTTCATCCACATTGTGGCATATGTCAGTACTGTGTCCCTTTTTATAGTTCAGTAATACTCCAGTGTACAGATAAATTTTGTTTATCCATTTTGTTGATGAACATTTGGATTGCTTCCATCATTTGTCCATTATGAATAATGCTGTTCTGAACATTTATGTGTAGTTTTCATGGGGGCATATTCTTTCATTTCTCTTGGATATATTCTTAGAAGCAGACATGCTGGATCCTATTGCAACCCCATGTTTAATTGTTTGAGAAACTGTCCCACTCATCCAATGCACCTGTGCCATTTGACATTCCCATTTGCAGTACATGATGGTTCCAAGCTCTGCGCATCCCCATTACACTTGCTATTGTCTCTTATGCTGTAGGCATCCTAGTAGGTGCAAGGAACTATCTTCCCACAGTTTCATCTCCTTTGGGTTTATTTTTCCATGCGTACTTCCTTGGTATTCCCAGGATGCAACAGACACTCAAATGTTGATGGGAGTAGATTAAATAAAAAATCCGTTGTTTTTCATTTTCTATTTCAGCAAGTGTCCAGCAGGCACCTGTGATGGATGTGCATTCTACTTCCTGTGGGAGAGTTCTGAAGCTTGTCCTTTGTGCACAGAGCATGACTTCCATGAGATTGAGGGAGCCTGCAAGAGAGGACTTCAGGTAGGGGCCAAACCCATCTACACAGATGGCATATGCAAATGACAACTTTTACTCTGTTTTCCATTATGTCAATGAACAAGTGTATATTTCTTTAGCTACTAAAGATTCATGATTAAAAAAACAGTAATTGCAAAATATTACAATGGGTATTTTATAATTTTTTGGTCATCTTACTCCTTCAATCCTATTTCCTGTCCCATCCTTTATAATTTTTTGGCTTTATCTTGTTTGGGCATGCACTACCACAATTCTGTAAATACATCAAATACAGAGGCTTAAGAAGTTAAATTTAGACAACATAAACCTCCCATGTATAGCTGGCAGAAACAAAAAGAGCTACACAACCTGTGATAAAACTGCTTTTATCAAATTGAATCTCAAAAATCTATACCAGCTTCCAACTGAGTATTAAGTATTAAATCTAAAGTCATGCAGTAGTAAAGATTTGAAATGATACTGCATTATCACCAAGAGAGAGACTTTTAAATTTATCACCGAATTTATCTTAATCCTGTTCAAAAAATATCCTACATGCTGGAAGAATAAATCTTTCAGATGCAGTGTTAGCTATTTTATTGTTTTCCAGTGATATGTGATCGGATAAAGGGCTAAAATGTTCAAATTAGTAGTTACAGAATGACTAAGAAGTTTTCCCAATAACTTGATATTTTTCTTTGACAGCATTTGAGGGAGCTTATTGAAAAGTTAAGCATTCTAGATTGACATGTGTCTTTTTAATTTGCTGAGAAGATGGTCACTAGACATCAGCGTTTGCTAATTTCTTTAGGTATTATTTATTTGATAAGGCCATATAATCTTTTTTCTATGCACTTCTAATGAAATTGATATTTTTTACTAGAGTTTTTTATGTCATGATTTACGCTTAGAGTTGCAGCAAGTGAATTTGAACATGCCTCTGTACTTCTCACCTCATCATACTGATAAATGTGACCCATTTAAAAAATAATGCATTTTCTCTTAAGTTCAATGAGAATGTCATAGTTGTCATGGGCTAAAAACAATTCAATTGCTACTATCTTTTCTAAAAACATGCTGAAAGTTATTTGCATTTGATTGAAACTTTTTCTCAAAGTAAATGAGATTCATCTACACAAATATGTTTATGCACCTAATACATAAACAATTTGATATTATCCTTCTGTTAGGATTTGATAAAGTTACCATCTCATTCTAGAAAATTTAATAAGGCAAAATAAGCAAATGCTTTTATGCCCTGTGTAACTTATTGTCATTAGGTTTAATCATCATAAAAATTGCTACAGGTCACCTGTATATCTTAAGCTACATAAAAGATCATGCACTGAACTCTGTCTTTCATTTTCAGCATGCCTTTTTATCTGTTTGTTTTTTAAAATTGCTGGTTGAGACCCAGTGTATTGATTTTATCAATTTATTGTAACTTGCTATTTGGGAAACATTGTCCTAAAGGAGTTGAGTCACCTACTCTGGGAGGACAAGAATAACTGGTCTGAGTAGTAGTGACCCAGAATCATGCTCTCCTTATTTTGGCATGTGGACGAGGAGTGGCCCGTCCATGTGGCTGTCCTTATGTCAGCCTCCTAAATTGGCCAGCTGTGTATGCCTGTAATACCCCAGGTACAGAGTCCATCTGTTTTTCTGCTTAGGGGAGAGGTCTGTTGGGTTAATAATGGGTTTGCATGATGGATGGGTGAAATCCATTCTAGTTAATTACATTAAACAACCTAAAATTTATTCTGAAACATGATAGCGATGTCAGGAATGATCAAAACTTGCAGGAAACAGCCTAAAAGACGTGTTAAGGTAGTCATTTTATTCAACTTCTTTAGCATGTAGTAAGCCCTTCTAATTTGACAATCCATTCTTTGTTTTTTTTTTTTTTACATTTTCACTTATTTCATTATTTACTCTCTTATGTATCTTTTTTAGAGATTTTATTAAGTGAATTGGAATAGTCCTCTGTGCCTGCTATGAGTAAAGGATTAACAAACCTCTTTTCTACATGAGAAATTGACCTAAAAACAAACCTAGCTTTCACACTTGAATCAGAATCTTATTTGTCATGTCATGTGGGGTTTTATTTATTTATTTTAAAAGGAAACCTTATATGTATGGAATGAACCTAAATGGTGCATTAAAGGAATTACTTTGCCTGAGAAAAAGTTGTCTACCTGCGAAACAGTTGACTTTTGGCTCAAAGTGGGAGCAGGTGTGGGAGCTTTCACAGCTGTTTTGCTGGTGGCTCTAACTTGCTACTTCTGGAAAAAGAATCAAAAGTAAGTAGCCTCACTGGGATGATTGTATAGTAACTGGAGGGTCTGATATGATGTGAGAATTTTAGACTTGATTATTATATACAGTAGATTCTCTCAGAGTCACAAGATATTTCTTCTAATGAAGAGTTATAGGGAAAGCCTTGGAGAAGTCAAGCACAGGAAATGATTATTATTCTGATAATTGAAATTTAATAGGGCACTGGACAGCACTGAATTAGACTCATTTATTATAGAACATTGAAAAGTGGAGGTTCAAAATTACCCAAGTAGATGGTAGTAGTGATGAGATTGGAAGGCAGAATTTCTCTGGGTCTGTTTCAATTTTTATGACATCATGCTGTCTTCTTGCCCTATTTTTCAATTTCTTGTAGGAGGATGATATTTGCAAAGAAACATACTAAGTATGTAGGCAAATATCACATATGTTTAGTCCAGGTCTCCAAGAATCTAAGATTGAATATCGAGTCTAACCCCTGAATGTCTGTTGATCTGTTACATGGTTTGAATCTTTTACAATGATTTACATCTCAATGGGCTGTGAGGATCTATATTCCAATATGGAGGTGCAATTGCAATATTTTAAGTGATAAGTTAAATATAAAGACATAAATGATTTAGAGACCGAGAAACCCAAATCACCTATGTGATATTCTCTTCCATATGATCTAAACTTTAGGGAATGTGATAGTGATTTGACATCCACATACTAATAAATCAAGGAAATGCATTATACCTCAAAGATTTCCTTTGTTTTACAACTATCCTTCATAATTGAACAGTTCAATCAAAGTAAAGTAAGTGGTAAAATTGACTATACTAAACTGATTCTCTGACATCCTGGGAAATATTTTTATGTGTATGATTGATCAATATTGACACATAAAGCTAAGGCCGTAGGTGAAGAAATTTGTTGATAGAATATACTACAAGACAACTTTATGAGCTGACATATGATCACCTATAGTACATATTTATTAGTATAAATGGTTATTTTATCTATATTTATTTATCTATATTACCATTGCTTAGATTGGAGTATAAATATTCCAAATTAGTAATGACAACAAACTCTAAAGAGTGTGAACTCCCAGCTGCAGACAGCTGTGCTATCATGGAAGGAGAAGATAATGAAGAGGAAGTTGTATATTCCAATAAACAGTCACTGCTTGGAAAACTCAAATCTTTGGCCACAAAGGTGAGAGCAGAATTTTAGCCTGGAATTGCTTATTATTTGCATAGCAAACTATTTAACAGTAGCTGCTTTGGGGAAGAGGAAACTAACAAGAGTATAATACATTTAGTAATATTACTTTTCACAAATATGATATTTATAAAAATATCTCACATTCATCCATACTTTTCTTTTGGTGTTTATTTTATAATATTATTTTTCATAGAGAAAACAAAAGTTATATAAACTATTGAGGCATTTAAGGCAGCACATCAGATGCTAGTGTATTTGTTCACTTTGAAATGACTTCTGCATCTAAACAGAATGTGAAACCTTCAATATTGTTTGAAAACACATTTTATTAATACTCTTCACCATTGATTTAAAAGATACAAATTATTAACTTGCCCTTTCAAGATTAAATACAGAATGAAATGGAAGAAAAAAATGCATTTCAAATGATTTGCGGCAGGACAGACAGGTGACAAAACATTACATTATAGAGAGTATTTAGTAACCATTTTCTTTTACTCTTTTAAATATATTATAGGGGATTTTAAAGAATAAAATAAATAAGTCATCTAAGGCTATTTAACTTTTTTCTTTATTAATATCAAAGTTTATGGAGGGTACTATTATTATGGAATAATAAATATACAGTGATTGTCAAGAACTTAAAAATGTACCCTACTTGTAAGGTAACAGGTGAGCCTTCCCCAGTCTGATGGATACTTTAGAAAACAGAAGACTCCTTGTTGAAGACAAAGAACTGTTTAGACCGAGTAACAGTATTTATACCAGTTTCTGAAGTCCCATCTCCCATAGGATTATGTGTATATGACAGGATAACATTTGGTTGCATCACAGGAAAGGAACCCTAAGCTTTGGGAATCTGTTTTCAGAAAGAGCAATAAGGAAGCCCATCTTTGCTTCAAAGACAGTTATCTTTATTGTACCAGGTTGATAGTATGTCTATCCATTGTCTCAGGGGGAGACACTATTTCCAAGACAGTAAGCAAGGATGACCTTTACTCTGGAAGGAGACAATGTCTTTATCTTTTCAAGATTCTTGAAAAGACAGTATAGAACACAAGGAAATCATTATCTTGCCCCTAGAATATGCAGAACTGCAAAAGAACTATGGAGAACTATCTCCTAACAATGTTCACATCTCCTTCTCTATCATTGAGACTTATGGTGAATTTTCCCTTCAGTTTGCCCCACCTAATACTCTGATATGACTGACAGAGGCTAGGATCAATCTGGTTAATTTGCTTTATAAAACATTTAAGTAAAACTACTACAAATAGTACCAAGCAGCAAGATGAGACCAGTCTTCATTATTAACCTCAATTATACACCCAGGATCCTAGATCTAACTGACTGAACAAATGCTATAAGCCATTAGTTCTACTTTGGGAAGCTAGGTAGTCTTCTCCTTAAGTCTTTGTGCAGACTTTTTCCCCCAACCTGAGACCTTTCCACTGGCACCAAGATATTTTCTCCATAAGAGTTAGGTGGGACTGTGTATGGTGGTACAGGCCTGTAATCCCAGCTATTCAGGAGGCCAAGGTAGGTGGATCATGGTCTGAGGCCAGCCAGGGCAAAAGTAAGAGGCCCTATCAAAAACCAAAGTAGAAAGAGCCGGTGGCATGGATCAAGTGGTAGAGGACTTGCCTAGTAAGTGCAAGGCACTGAGTTCAATCCTTAGTACTGCCAAAAAATGTAGAAGCAAGACGATGAATTTTCAAAACCTTACAGACCTAGTGAATTTCCTATTTTTGTCTACATGGGCCATTATGGGGGGACTTGGTGAGCAATAATCTCAGCTAAGTGGTAATTATCCTTTTGATGTAGGATTATGGAAATGCAACAAGACAATCCATGGACAACAGGATATATTAGTGGTTTCACAAGCTTTGTCTTAACTCTCAAGGGAGAAATATAGGGTAGTTATATTGTCCATAACAATGTATAGACAATGAGTTCATGTTGACCTGAACAACAGGTCAAAAGATTCAAAAGATGAGGAGGTTTCATTAATTACTTTAGCTGAAGTCAGAGAGAAATTTCATACCAGCTATTTGTTTTCTTTTTTGTTTTGTGGTATTAAGGATTGAGCTCAGGGCCTCATGCTTGTCAGGCAAGTATTTGACCACTTGAGCCGTGCCCCCAGTTCTTTTGCTTTTATTTTTTATAGATAGGGTATGAAGCTAACTTTGCTCCATCTCGCCTCAAGCCAATCAGTGATCCTCCTACCTTTGCCTCTGGAGTAGGTGGGATTACAGGCATGCACTCCCATGCCCAGTCCACATAGTGCTTTTCTAATTCATTGCCTGCCCGTAGTTTGAGTGTGAATAAGTCACTTATTTGCTCATTTTGGTAAGGTTTTCGCAGTTCTCTAGGATCTACATGATATTTTTAGTATGTTTTAATAAAGCATTGAAGATTTGTTATCACTACTCCAAAGGTGCAAGCCATCATGATTTTTAGGAAAGAAACAAGTTAATGTCTGGTTTTTACACAAGAAGCAGTCCTGAAGGTATGTATGGTGCCTCTGGAAGAAAAGTATTTTAAAAAAAACAAAAAAAAAGAAAAGTATTTTCAGATCTTGGTGACACCATATAGTATCTACATCAGTCAAGCAGCACAGGTTGACCGTGCCTGCAAGTGGCTTCCTTATGGTTTATGAACTTTAAGGTTTTCAGTTCATCTGAAATAATTGTCTCTTTTTTGTGTCTCTGAAGATCATCAATTCAGTCTTTCCTGTTTGTCTACACCACAAGTGTGATGTATTTACCTGTCTCATGGGGTGACTAAGTATGGCTATGGGAATGGAGGTGTTGATTGACATTATTCTGGGGCAGAATTTGTGGCTATCCCCCACTGTGTGCGATAGATTTCTCATTAAGTTTAAAGGGAACAACAGTCAAATTGTGATTAGCCCTTGTGGTGGGTATGGAAGACTCAGCAGTCAGTTAAATTAAAGCTATTGGCACCAATTTGATAAAGCCACAACTGGACATTTTTCTTTAAAGGAAGTGACAAGGTGACTCTGAAAATAAATGATGGTTAGTGTCCTTCCTTCCTTCATAACTCTTAGTATCTGAGGTATTTCATCCCATTATCTTGGACTGACTTGTGTCCTTCTACTGCCAGTGTCCTATTTCAGTGGCTGTAACTTAACTGTATTTCTACTTATTCTTTACTGGCATCCAGGTCTATTATTCCCCTGAACATTAAGGTACAAGAGTCACAAGTATGTTAAAAATACCCCACAGAGATAGAGACCCACTCACTATGTGCCCCATTTTGTCCATGTTGGCTATGATAGGTGAGTAGCTTGGTGAATAGTGTAGTCAGTAAATGGCCATTATCCTTTTGATCTAGAATCATGACAATCCAACGAGACAAAAGTACAGGTGGTGGTTAAATTAAAATTATGTTTGCTCCTCCTAGGCTCCTTTCTGGCTGGGACATCACTAAAGATTGTACCCAGGCATCTTATAGGTGGAGTCAATAAGGTCATACTATGCCTTGGAATGGTCAGGCAGAATCCTGGAATTTGGAATAAGATGCTTATTTTCCCCCTTCATAATCATGGACAACCATACTATTGACCAAACTGTCTTTACTAAGTTGTGCGGACACAGGAAGAGGTGAAGGAGAAAGTCAGAAGTTTTTGAATCAATTTCTGAGAAGCCTATTTCAGTGCTCAGTGATTCCATGTGCCATCCAAAGGATGGTAGGGAGTGTGGAAAGTTCATTAAATATCTCTACCTCAGCCCATGTTTTTCATAGCTTTGGTGATCAAATGTGCATGTTATAAATGGTCCATATAGCCACAAACTATATATATTTATTTCAAGGGCAAATATAATGAGATTAGAGTTAGTCAATTAGTGGTGAGGTGCAATCAATAGCCCAAAGAATGGGAAAGTTATGATGTAATGAATTATTTTCTAGATTAAAAAAAAGCTGGCAGAGTGGTTCAAGTGATAGAGTGCCTATTTAGAAAGCATGAGGCCTAGAGTTCAAACTCTCATACTATAAAAATAGATAGATAGAAAAATTATATTCTAGATAATAATTATTCACCTTTTGGCATGAATCCCATCTTTCTTTCTCTCTTCAGTACTGAAGTTTGAACTTAGAGCCTCATACTTGCTACAACTTGAGTCCTGTCCCAAGCCCTTTTTCTTTAGCTAGTTTTCAGTAAGGTCTCATGCTTTTGCCTGGAGCTGGCCTCAGCCTGAAATCCTTGTACCTCTGCTTCTCAAATAGCTGGGATTATGGACATGGACCGCTATACCTGGCTTGTTTTTTGAAATAGGGTCTTGCTAAATTTTTGCCCAGACTGACCTCAAACCACAGTCCTCCTATCATTGTTTCCCAAATAGCTGGAATTACAGGTATGAGCCACTAGGCCTGGCCCATTACTAGCCCATCTTTACATGTGTGCTTCTCTTGATGGAGGAACTTTGTCTAGCACTTATACTTGGTGAGGTGCAAACATTTAACATCAAACGCTACTGTGTATCCAGATATGGCAGCAATAACAACAGTATCTTATATGGGCACATAAAACCCTTCACAAGGTCACATTATTTTTCCTTCCCTGCTGTAAACTTGCAGAAACCCATTATTTGCATGTTCCACTCCTCCCACAGATGCAGGTAGGAATGGCGCCTTGCGTGCCTGCAGCCCACAGTCATGTTTGAGAATCCCTCTCTGAGGTTCCCTAGCAGACTCAGATGTCAGATGGGCATATCTAATTTTCATTTTCTCTGCTAATCTTCTTTCTCCTTGAAGATGCTGAAATCAGGGTACATAGAGAGCAGAGGGATTAAGAGTAAAGAAAGGGAATCAGTCTCTAAAAGCAAGCAGGACTTTGACATGTGTTTCTGTTTTCATGAATTTTATCAACTGCCTATTATCCAACTAAACTTCATTTTTTTTTTATCCACTCAAAGCCCTGTGTTGGGGCTGGAGGTGTGGCTCAAGCATTAGAGAGTCTTCTTTGCAAGCATGAAGCCCTGAGT